ATTCGGGGGACAGAGTGGTCCCAGGATAGCATTTGTTCCAATCCCATATGGTAAAAATACCAGTGGGAGTTGGAGGAAGGTTGGTTTTTAGTGTTATTAATTTCACACTTGGAGTCAGTCAAACCAGTATTAGTCTCATGTTAGTTTCAAGGTCTAGGCTGTCCAGATATCCCTTTAGTCACTATTTCTCTCTTTTTCTTTCAGCAAATTCACTGCAATTAGACCACTATGAAGAACACCCCATCATGATGAACAATAGCTCTCCTGTTGCAAAGCCCGGTGAGTTTTCAAGGCTTTTTGGTAAGAATTTCCTTTTGAATTTGCATGGGTAAAACAAATGGAGATGACAATTCCTCTGAAAGTGAAGGGGTAAAGAAAATATTATCTATAGATCTACAGACATTAAGAAATACTTGGTGGCAAAACATAAATTATTTGTACATGATTTGTATGGTAGAGACTGAACAGTTTTCTTCTATGGCCTGGAGTAAACATTGACATGTAAGAGACACTAAAATGTACTATTCTTTAAGTGTAATGACTGTGAGACACATAATTACCATAGAAAAGATTAAATTCAGTTACTGTATGGCGACAGAGAAGGGGAAAGTGAATAAATTTGAGCTATGTCTGATCCTACCTGAGTTTTTCCCACATAGAGACCAGGGTGTCTGCCTTCCATACATAGCAAGAGTTTCTTGGCTTTTTCCCTCTATGCCAAATGAATTCTCTGCTGGTGATTTGCAGCTGGACTACAGACCCCTTCAGCCACCTGGATGGTCCAGAGGGGCCATAATCAGATTTCGGAATTTGGCCCAATAAAATTATCGGACCTGATTCTCATGTACACTAAGACCATTTTACACTACTCTGGTAAGGGGGTATAAGTAACATGGGTGTAAATTACATTTGTATCCATTTCAAGGCTGTCAGAGAGGTGTAGAGTCAACTGAATGTAAATAAGCCATGGGCCCTTCAACTCTGATGTTAGCTCTGGACCAGTTTCCACAGTTGAGGACTGTGTATTAGAGATTGAAAATTTGTCCAGGTTTTGAATGGTAAATGTGGTTGAGGCATGTCAATTTGTGATCCACAGTTTTACAAGAGGGAACGCGCAACAGCTGGGAAAAGACTGATCCCTCTCACCAAGTCTTTCTGATGGTCTTCTGCACTTGTACTCACATATACTTCCTGAGATTGGGTGATGGCTAATGCATTCACTGATCCTTCAGTGTTTGACATTGGCTATAAGATAATGGATGGGGAATGTATCAGTGCTCTTTGCTTAGTAAGATTTTAATAATAAACTCTGGAAATTCGCTGGTGTTGTGTTACATTTCTTGCATGCATTGTGAGGATATTCACTTTTGGCCTGAGGATAAGCTTTTGTGACGCTATCTATTTTGGGTACCAGTTTGCAGCATTTGATGCTGAGACAACAACTCTCAGTTGCTGCAGTAGCTAAGCTATTAGCAGAGAGGACAGCATTTTGGACGACTATTTTGCTGAAAAGTCTTACAGAAATGGAAGCTTTTTCTAACACGAAAGCATAAATACAGAGTCATAATAGCATGTGAATTCCTTGAGATATATTTACTAATTATGTGAGTCTGAAAATCTCACACACAACAAATGTATGAAAATGAGAGGGCATAATCAATTGTTTTTCTAAAGCATTTTCTATTTTTAAATAAATGGGCATGTTATGGACCCAATAAAGAATGCTCTCCACGGTATCACTCATTATAGGAAATATATTAACATACCATTGAAAATTTATTTAATCTCTGTTTCAAAGAAAGAAACGTGTTGTTGGTAATAGATCAGAAGCTGCAGAAACATGAAATAAATAAGCTACCAACAAACCTATTGCCATATAGAGAATTGAATTCTTCTATTTCTAGATGGAACCATATTTCTTCTTTAAGTGCAAATCTGAAACTTCTTGCAATGTTGCTCCCTATGATCATGCTGCTGACAGAAAAGATTCTCCTTCTGGGTGTAAATCACAGGGTAATTTCATTTTACACTGCTGGAAAACCAGAGAAAGTAAGCCGAGAATCAAACCTTTCATTTTCTGATGGAACAGAAAGGGGAAGCTGACTTGTGATATTCTCCACACTCCACTGTGCCATTTAAACATCCTGCAGGAGTGAAATCCAATTATCAGCACAATCCATATGGATTTATGCAGGTTGTCAATTCCTATTCTTGTTACTAAAAGATTCTCTCCAAACGTGGCCCTGACCCTCTACTGGGGTAAATTGGCATTGCTGTACCTGTTAACATACCTGTAGCAATTTATACTCTCAGATCTGATCTGTTGGATGCAAGACCTGATCATCTGTTATCTTTGTAACAGTTCTGCAATTTATGTGAAGATTGTTCAGTTTTCTCATCCCTGACAACCAGAAAGCTGAGACCGAAATTTAGGTACTGCAATAAAGTAGGGCTCAGAGAACAGTTTGGTGATGTCTCTGAAATTATTAGATATATGAAAGATAACACAGCAAACATGCATTGTGTCACACTTGGCTCTTGGACCCTATCCATGGATAGAGGAAGAATGAGTGAGCTGGCTGCTTCCTGCAAAGGAGTCCAAACAGCCTGTGTCCAGCCCTCAAGTACAGGACAGAGTCCCTGTTCAGTGGTGGTTCTCTTTCCTTCCCTGTTTTTCAACAAATTTCAAAACTTTCCAGTCTGAGCACCCGAGGATCTCCAACTTCCCAGCTTCTGGCTTTTCATCAGGCAACCACATGTAGCTCTGGAGATGCTGGAAGCCTGGGCTCCACAGGAGCCCACCAAGGCCTGGCTTCTGTCAAAAACTTCAACGGAACTGACGTGTTCTCATGGAATGTTTCTATTCCATTGTATCAGCAGTTTCTGATGGAAAGCTCTTTTGTTGGAACACTTTCTGCCATCGCTCCTCAGAAGCCTTCGCTCTGTTCCTTGCATGTATACAATACAATGGATTCTTTCATTGCCTGTTCATAACCATGTGGTGCTGAGCTATGGGACATTTTATCTGGCAAATAATAAACATAGGAAGTCCAGGTATATGAAATTGTCACTGGAAATCTAAAACCTGCATAAATGAAGGGGTTTGGATAAACAGGAGAACAAGAATTCAGAGTATAAAGCCAAAAGTCTTTAAGGGTCATAGAGCTCAAGGCCAGAAGGGACCACCAGATCATCTAGTCTGCTGCCCTATATATCACAGAACACCACCACCCAGCCATCTGCACACAACCCCAAATGGAAAAACTGCCTTGACTTCAGTAGGCTTTGCATCAAACCCATAATGTTATTTTAAGTGCCAGTAGAGTAACGCTGTAGTTACAAGCATAAAATAATTGGATGTATGACTCCTAATTAGAGCAGCCAAAGGTGTGATTGCAGAATGTGTAGACATAATCAAGCTAGCTAGCTACCAACAGCGGTGAAGTTGTGGCAGCATGGACTTCAGTGCAGGCTAGCTGCCCAAGTAAGTACCCAGGATCCTGGGCAGGCTTGTAAAGATCATGCTGAAGCCTGTGCTTCACTGATATTTTTGAAAACAATTCGTGTCTACTGCCTGTGCAACAAGACCTAGCCTGGTAAGCTCAAAGGCTGTCCAGACCTATGTGTGGTCCACCCACTGGGGGTGGGGTGGGGCTGAGGGCGGGGAGAGAGAGACACACTGTGCAAATGTGGTTACATACTTCTAACATGCTTTTTTTAATTGTGTCAATCTCATATTGATGGCGACTATCACAGTAGTCAGTATATTAAAATCAAAATCCGTTAATCACCGGTATAATTGTGGGACATGAAATCCACAATAGAGCTTGTTTCTTTTTATCATTACATTTTTTTTCTTAATTACGACCTTCATGCAGAGTTGCCTTTCTACGTAGATGAAGGGTACAGATTTTCACAGGCTGGCTGTTTCCATGAAGCTGCACAAAATGCAGGGGACATGCAGGCATCCTGAAGATTGTGACAATCCATTTAAATGGGGATTGGGTAACTATTAGTCTTTTTATTTTTTTACAGAATGCCTTGGACAATGTGCAGCATAGTTTTTTAGAAACAGTACAATTAGAAAGGATCCTGAATAGCATTCAGATGTCACTTCGAAGGGTGTATTGCACATACCTGGATTAGACCGTCCTTACTCAGCTGAAACTACTTCATGGAAGGAGGAAAGTTATGCAGGAATGTCCATGAGCTGGCAGTTGGAGAGTGCATAGGGTTGCCACCTCTCCAGGATTGTCCTGGAGTCTCCAGAAATTAAAAAATAATCTTTAATTAAAGATTGTCATGTGATGAAATTTTTGTCCAATCAAAGTTGGCAACCCTAGTGCCAGAGGGAGAGTCTATTATGGAAAGGAAATATGGGCTTTACAAAGTGTTAGCTGTCTCCCAATCATTGTGATGAACCCATGTTCTTGGGGCACCTGCATGCATGGTCATGGTATTTTCCCAGAGGGCCAGCCCCGTGGCACTAATTCCCAGGCCACACTTGATCGCAGCATGACAATTCCCTGAGGCAAGGATTCTTTCTAGAAGATGAACAAACCAGGCAAGTAATTTATATTCCCAACTTGAACTCTGCGAAATATTATAACATCCCAGTCTCATCTACCCGTTGTCACTGATATGCCCTCCTTTTGTGTTTTTTCCAGGTTCAAAAGTTCCCAGATTAGCATAGGTAAGTCGGTTGGTCTTTACTGCTTCCTGAAGCAATCTTTGTGTTTCAGAGCGTAATGTCATCTGCAGCTGAGGTCAGGATGAAATTCACTCTTGGCATAAACTTGCTCAGTTAGCTCTGGTGTACACAAGAAAGTTGCACCAGTTTATTAAACTAAGTTATTTTAAAACGGTGCATACTCCTCTCTGGACAGTCTCTTGTTTTGCTGTGAGTGACTTATTTAAAATTAATTTAAACCTATTCCTGATTAATTTTAAAATAAACCTAGTTTAATCCAAAATAAGGTGTCCACATAGGAGTTTGCACTAGTTTAACTTAATCAGTTTAAAAATCACAGCTTTTGTTAAACCAGTGCAATTTATGTAGGCAAACATATTGCTGGCTTTTTTCTAATCTTCATCGGAAGCACTGTCATTCATCTGTCAGACACAACATACTGGTCCATTTGTCCTTTCTGGAATAACAATCCTTATGCTCCAAACACAGTTCATGCAGTCACTAATTCTTTTTCTCTCTCTTCTCTCAGCAGTTTCAATGAACCCTTTTAGTTACATGATTACATCCCATACATTACACATTTATTCTCATATTGAAACCTGAAAAGACTACATTTACCTTAAAGTACAATTAAAAATTTTTTACTCAATTTTTTGCATTCAAAGAATTCTTGTTCAACACTGTAATGTTCTTAATGTCGCTTAAAAATTTCTAGTTCCATTTTACTGTTATTTTCCTCCCCACCACAATTACTATTTTTTTTTCCTTCCCAGCAATATTTCCCACTCTTTTTCATAATGCTATCCAGGGAACCTGTTAGCTAATCATACTTTATATGCAAATATTTTTGGTAATGAGAACATTTGTAAGACACATAAAATGTAACTCAATTTTCTCCTTTCTTTTTCAGCCTGCAGTTCTGGGCGTTTCTAGCCACCTCGTAGCCTGTTGCTCACTGAGCGGCTTGTCTGGTTCATCGTTCTGTATCTTCAGGATGCCTTCGGCTCTGTTATACTGCAGTCTCTCCTGAAAAATTCCAGCTGTTCTTTGCTCTGAACTGGCTTTTCCAGCTCTCCAGCCCTGTGGCTTCTTCAAGAATCTCTGTCTGACTTCTCACCATCCTCTTAGGAATCACAGCGCTTAGGCTGATAAAATGGCTCCCATTCCCTTGAAACTTTAACCTTCTTGCCTTCAGAAACTATATGCATAATTTTCACTTTGGCTTCTGAAATAGGCCTGAGCCCATCTGGGGTGATCGGTCATCCTGCTTCTCCTTGCTTTGATGCTCCTTCCAGCTTTGGGTGAGCTCCCTGGACTTGGTTCAGCTTCCAGTCATTCTGGACACCACTTGTCCATCCTCCAGAGCTTCAGCTCTTACCCTTTCACTTGAAGTAACACAGAAACAATAAGAGCAATAACAGGACAGCAACATTCTGCTTAGAACCTTAAAAATGTAAATGCCATACTAACACCAGATTCCAGAAGCTTCTCTATTGATTGTTGCGCCTACTCTTCCCCTTCACTTCTTGGTTAGACTGCCAATCACACGGTCTGCTCTGTCTGGAATTTTCTTATTGGGCAATGTTGTTCTTACTTTGACCTTAGGTTTAGCCCTCCAAATCTACACAGCCAGGGCCCAATCCTGCAAGGTGCTGAGCACCATCAGTGATTTGAAGGTGTGCAGACTCTCTGAGGAGCAGTCACTTCATTAGGTTTAGTAACATTTTGGCGGTACTATTTTCATATAGTCAATGTTTAAATTACTCCTCTTTTTTTGCAAGGTGTGTCAGTTAAACCTTCTTACCAGTGATGTTAAATAGCACCTCTTTCTATAATGTTAGATGAAAATATGAAGCATTTTGTATTACTACATATGCAGTGGAGCAAGTCCTGTTTTTTTACTTCAAATGTGAGGACAGAATTTGCCCTAGTATGTTGTGTGATCATGTAATGAAAGATGCTAGTGTAATGCATACTGTACATGTCGGGGGCAGAAGTAAAGTTGATGTGAAATTTACCTATGAATTTCCTGAGCTTTGTGTGATTAAAAACTCATGCCTAATATTGCCTTAATGTACTTAAGGGGTCGGGGGGGGGGGGCTTGCTCACATTGTACCTATGTATGTGTTTAAACTCTGCCATTTGTGACACTGAATATAACAGATAAGGAAACAGCACCAGACACTCAGTGGTGCCTCTAACCATGTTTTCTCAATGTTCTTAGAACCAGCTCCTCTCCCTTCTCTCTGCATGACTCCTGCGGATCGAGGCCTTTGCAAAGCCAATGAGAAAAGATTCTTCTATGATCACTCAACTAGAAGATGCCATCCATTTAGCTACAGTGGGTGCGGTGGGAATGAAAATAATTTCAACTCCAAAAACTCTTGTCTGAGGACCTGTAAGAAAGGTAGGGAAATCAACAGTGCGAAGAAGTTAAGCTTCTGATGTCCAGAGCCTGAACATTTCATGCAAGTGGGTCTGCTGAAATGTAACAATGAAAAGATAACAAAAACGTGCTAGAAAAAAATCTAGCAAAGAATTGCATATCAGATGTTTTATAATTGATCAAATAAAATATGCCTATCGTACAACAAACATGTAATCAGTTGCTTGATCCATTAAATTCAGCAAATGATTGTCTCCACAGCACAGTATGTTGTAATGTTAATTGGAATTACATGTGTGCATCAAGAAGAGAATATGGCCTTCTTTTAGTAAAATGTTTAAGCACGTGCTTAACTTTCAGCCTGTATGTAGTTCTGTTCCATTGAAATTAATAGGACAACTCACATAATGAAAGCACTTTGCTGAATCAGGGTCTTAAGGTCAGATTTTCAAAAGTGTTTAGGCACCTAAAAATCCCACATAGGTGCTTCTGAAAATCCCAGTAGGTAACTAACTTCCCTTGATTGCTAACTTGCTTAACCACTTTTGAACATCCCTCTAGGTGCCTATCCTCATCTTTAAGAACTTAAATACCTTTGAAAATCTGGTCCTAAATGCTTAGTTGTTTTAAAATGCAGACATATTTAATACCACGTTGTGCCAACAAGCCCCAGCTGCCCCAGGTAGCAAGTGATCAATTTTTTAAAATGAACTCGCTTTTGGGTTTGCTCATTTGTCACTGTGGGGAAAAAAGTGCTGATGTGAAATCTCAAGACTGTTACACAAGTTTATTCTGTCTCTGTCTTCCCTGCCTGAACACTGGAGTAAATAGGAGAGCATACTTCCCCCACATTGTAACATGGCTCTCGATGTTCACAATCAGCATAATAATAATGGTGGTAAAACAACCTTCATGGGAACAAATAAAATGGGGATGCTCCAATCAATGTGATTTCGGGATGAGACATCCACTTTACTGCCTGTGCATAAAGGGCCAAATTGTGCATTCAGATACACATGTGAAAGTCAGCCCTATACAGAAGGTGAGCGCAAACCCCATGCAACACTGAAGCCCTCCAAATAGGGCATCAATGAGACTTATGTGGCACAGGGCCTTGTGCTGATCTCTATACAGGGATGAATTTCACCCATTGACTTCATTCGAAATTTCATGTGTGGATCCATAGAACGTCTACCTTACTGCAGAATATTGCAGATTTTTTTTTCAAAAGATAAGAGTCATTAAGAAACATTAGGCCTAATTCTGTTGTCACTGGTCTGGTCCAGCTCTCGTTACAGGCAATGGGACTCTTGCCATTGACTATAGTGGGCTTTGGATCAGGTCCACTTACAGTACTGTAAATAATAATAATAATAATGATTAATGGAGATATCCCATCTCCTAGAACTGGAAGGGACCTTGAAAGGTCATCAAGTCCAGCCCCCTGCCTTCACTAGCAGGACCAAGTACTGATTTTGCCCTAGATCCCCAAGTGGCCCCCTCAAGGATTGAACTCTCAACCCTGGGTTTAGGAGGCCAATGCTCAAACCACTGAGCTATCCCTCCCCCCCAAATCAGAGTTAACTCCTTTTTAGAGTCAGTGGAGTTACACCAGTGTATGTAAGAGCTGAATCAGGCCCATGATCCCAGCTGATCGCACACATTCTGCTTTAAGCTACACCAGTGTAAATCTGTAGTAACTCTAGTATGGAAGTACACAGGTGTAACAGAAAGCAGAATCTGGCCCTTCTTTATTTTCATATGATATGGATGTCTTCTTTGGTACAGCGTGTAAAATTAATTTTTGTTTGCCATTAGATTTCAGTAAAAAACAAGGACGAAGAGGTTTATTGAAAATCAAGCGAAAAAGAAAGAAACAGCCAGTGAAGCTGACGGAAGATGAAATCATCATTGAAAGGATATAACTTCTGCTGTTTTAAAAGAGAAATGTGAACTACTCCATTATCTTTCATCTGTGAATGAAAGCATTAATGACAGCATTTTTAAACTCCTTACTGTACCAATCATTTGATTATACATTATTGGACGGCTTATCTATTTTGTTTTGTATTCCTCTTTCGTTTTTCTCTGATAAACTTAGTTAAAAATGCAGTTTGGCAATGTACACTCACCAATAGAGCTGAAGTAGAACAAAACAGACTGTGGGTGTATATCTGAGCCACAATGATTCAAAGATCAGGCTGGCTTCACCTAGTCTGTTTTATTATCTTGTTTGTCTCCCTCTAGAAACTTTCTTCTCAAAAGGACGTACAGTGCTTTTTATATAGGAGCATGAATAATTCATTCCTGAATACAGATAGAGGGCTATTGCTAAAAAGAGAGACTGGGCCTAATTCTGTTCTCATTTATTATACATTGTGTAAACTAGGTCTAAACTCTGCTGGAGTCCGTGGAGCCAGACTGCTGTAAATAGGGTGTAGGATCAGAGTTAGTCCCACTAAGACCACAAAGAGAATATTCAAGTCATAAACATGTGGAGAAATGTCACTGTGGATATTCACAAAGCCCAAAGTATATCAGGGACACCGATCTCTACAGTTGAAGTCACCAAGCCTCACCTTGTTGTGGCAATGGAAACATGGCTGGCAAGATAATAGTTCCCGGTAAAGCATGTATATCTTTGTCTATTTAAAGACAAAACAAAAAATTGTAAGTAAGTTGGGCACTTTAAAGATCTCATGACGTGTCCTGTCCCTTTGAAAATATAATAGATGCTGGATAGGTTTTTGTTTGTTTGTTTGTTTTTTAAAAAGAGCATTTATCATTTGGCAATAAAGGCTTTGCATATATAAAAATGAGCTGGTTTTCAGAATACTTATCTTAATTGATATGGCCCTACTTCCATGATATGTGAGCCCCTCACACTCATAAATATATCTTTCCTCACTATACTGTTGAGCCATACGAAATTGCTCTTATCACTGATTTACAGACAGGGAACAGAAAGAGAGAGAGAGAGAGAGAGAAACTAAAGGCCAGATTTTTAAAGATATTTTGGTGCCTAAAAATGTAGATGGGTACTTTGGAAAATCCCATTAGGTGCCTATCTGCCTTTTTTGGGCACTTAAATACCTGATATGTGACTGACTGTTTCAAGTCACACAGAAAATTGTTGCAGAAGAAGGAACTGAAGCTATGTCTGCTATGTACATAGCTAGTACCTCAGCCACTGAACCATCCTTCTGTCTAGTATGAGTTGTCCGAGTGATTTCAGAAGCCTATGCTTTTTGTATTGTTTGTCCTCTGCTACATTTTGCGCTACTACTGCTTTGAAAAATGCTTCTAGGACTGAAATATTCACTGGAAAATATGATGCATTATTCTTGCTTGTATCTTTAATAAAACTCTGTGAGGAGCAAAGAATCATAATGTGATAACTGCTTGACTGGACCAAATTGAGCTCTTCTTCACCAGTGTAAATCCAGAATAACTCCAATAACTAGTGAATATCAATAGTGTCATTTCTCCCCACTTGTAATTTGTTTTATGGTCCTAATGGGTCTGATTCTGATCTCACTTACTGCAGTTCAAAGTCTACACTGGGGTAACTGACAGCATAACTTGCTCCAGCAATCACATTATGACTGCATTCCTCAGTCCCAGTGAAGCATGTTAGGATCTTTGGATGAAAGATTCAGTAAAGATGTTAGTTTTTATTTTAACGTATACAGGGAAAATCAGATGAAAATATGTTAAATCAGACCTAGAATGAGAAACATATTCAGTATTATATAAGGAAGCTTAGACATAAACTGTGCAGATTGTGAACTGCATTGTAATGGAGCAGATAACTTTATTAGACATCTGGGCAAGTTAGTAATGATAAGTGCAGCTAGAAGGCCTGATCTTGCACGGTTACGCAGGCTAAACTCCCATTGAATTTAACTGTATGTATCAGATCTATCTTGTCCAATCACTGTAATATAGTGATATGCACAATAGTGGGAAACAGAATCTTGGTTTTTCATTTCATCTGAAATTGAGCCCCTCCAGCACATCTCCCTCCACCCCCATTCTGAGGTATTGGCTTAGTACTAGCTCAAAGGAAAAACTGCCCCCTACTGAATCTCCAACCCTACTTTCTGGAGCACCTGTGTCTTACTTGGGCCTGGTCCACACTAACCCCCCACTTCGAACTAAGATACGCAACTTCAGCTACGTGAATAACGTAGCTGAAGTCGAAGTACCTTAGTTCGAACTTACCGCGGGTCCAGATGCGGCAGGCAGGCTCCCGCGTTGATGCCGCGTACTCCTCTCGCCGAGCAGGAGTACCGGCGTCGACGGCGAGCACTTCCAGGATCGATCTGGGATCGATTTATCGCGTCTAGACAAGACGCGATAAATCGATCCCAGAAGATAGATTGCTTACCGCCGGACCCGGAGTATAGAGTGCTCCCATCCAAGCACTATTTGTCAGCCATGAAAATCCTGCAGAGTATATGTGATCTGCGGAGCTGATATCCTGAAGTGCTACGTTGAGCTCAAAAATGCCATTTTAAGATATCCTGGGCCTGGTTCTCACTTACACTATGGGCCATTCTACCACTCTGGCAATATAATTTATACTCCCTGTAAGGCACCATTACACTGCCATAGCAGTATAAAGGGGCCATTGTATGAATGAGCATCAGACCCCTGTTCTTTAGTAGGAAGAGCACAGTTCTCAAGCTAGCAGCAGTTTTAAGATGGATTTGCATTGTCCATTCTTAGGGGAAATCCTTTATTTTTCATCAAGTCTGCTCCATGGCTGCCATTGCAACCCCAGGGTGTCACCATTTGCAATGCTGAGACTGTAAAGAAGCTTAAAGTAATGGGACCTTCAGTAGTACGTAAATCAGACAAATATTGGTTTCACCTATTACTTCATGTACTAAGCAAACACATTGCAAGTGGATTAATTGTGTATGCTGCTTCTTCAATCCAAAGCATTGCTACTAAAGTGAAAGCGGAAATCAGACTTTCACTTTATGCAAAAGCCTGTCTTTACTGTGTGGTTTTTATAAAAGTGCAAATGTGCTAAATATTGTTTGCAAGGTTATTAACCCTGTTGTCTTTTAAAACTGTAATAACCATGAGTTTCATGAAACATTGTTCTCTTCTTTTATCCGTGCATTTGTTTCTGTATGGTAATCTGGATTTTGTAGCATAGTCATAAATGGAAACGTTTATGATGGCGTTTCATTATAATGTGAAATAGTCTCTTAAAAGCTTCATAATTAAATGGCTCAATTTGGCAGAACCTCAGTTTGATTAATTCACACCACTAACAAGGCAATGCAGGAATTGTTTACATTTTAAATCTATTTTCCCCTTCTGCCCAAATAAGGAGAGCAGCTATTCACTTGGGAAAGTGATCCAGATAAAGGATCCATTCCTGGACTGTACAGTGCTTATTACTGTGAGTAGCCCCCTGAAGGGATCACCATGGATCAGCTTGCAGGTAAGAGGATGGGCAGTTGACAGAGGGCAGCCCAAGGAAGGAGTGAGTGGGCTTGAAGTATTGTTGACACCCCCTCTTCCCTTGTGCCTTGGTTGCCACTGATTCCCCCAGGGGATTGGAGTGTTGTGCTCACTCTGGGGAGTTAAAGCCAACACCACTTCCTACATGATGCACCATATCATAGAAAACACTATGTGTAGCAGTTAAGTACTTGCAGGGTTGGTCTGTCAATAGTAAAAATGGCAAAAAGCTTTTTTAAAAAGATGAAATATTTTAAATATACAAAACTGGCCCTGTTTTCTGAAGAGCTGAACCCATGGAGCCTCTGCCTCCCTGCTTGAAACAGGATCCCTTCATTCTCCTCCCTCCACTGCCCCAAGGAATCCTGACATCAGGTTTCCTCAGCTGCTGACTGTCCACAAAACCCTGCTTAAAGTGACATTCCCTCTACAGGATGAAGGGGAGGGAAAGATGGTCATTTGGCATGTCAAAATCTAATATAACCTGGGGCTATCTTTCATTTATGCCCTGAGCTCTGAAGTGTTGGTGGGGGGATGATGTCCACCTGCTTCTCCCCAGCCTGATTTTTACTCCCAGATCAACCCCCCATGTGCAGATCAACAGTGCATGCCACACGGTTTACAGAGGAGACTACCTAGGACTTTTCAGGGCATAATCTTGGCCCATTGTTCTTATCATTAATACCATTCTAATATTACATTTATCGTGCTTCTTTCATCCGGAAGAGGATCCTTTGCTGCTTTACAAACCATATCTATGGGAACATTGCAGTAGGTAAGCAAAATAAGGGCTATGCGTGAAGGCCACACTGTGCACCACAGGAGGAGAGGGTGCAGAGATGGTATGAAGCTCAATGTGTTCTTCCAGAGTCCAGGGTGATTCCCATGGTTGGCATAAATTATAGCAGCCTGGAGAATTTGATTCTAAGTGTTCTCCATTAGAAAGAAGAGCAATGAATTGAAGAGTAGGATCAATAATGTGAAGTGACTCAGCAATAGCCAGTGTTTCCATCCTGAAAAAGGAGTTGGGCATTATCAGACAGACAGGTACTGCACAGCTGGGGTGAAATCTTCGCCTTATAGAAATCAATGGCAAAACTCCCCTTGATTGCAATAGGACCAGGATTTCACCCCAGAAGAACATGAATCATCCCTCTTTGAATGTGTAGGATTTGGGCACGCATCAGTCATCTGGGAAGTGTTGTTACAGTTCCCCTCCACTTATCCTGTTTCCTTAAGCAGTAAGGGCTAGTATTTCATTTTTAAAAATTCTTTCTTCACATCCCATTTAACATCGGAAAAGACTCATGTTCCCACAAAGTAATCCCTTATTGGCTATTTATCCTTCTGAGGGAAAGCCACTGCAGCCTGATCTGTCTGTCCCCTGATCTTATCCACAACAGAGCTTCCTTTCATTTTCCTTTCTCTCATTCACATAGCACCTCTTCCTCTGCTCAGTGTGACACCCTCAGAGCAACTAAACTCAGAGTAATCAACGGTGACAAAGTGGGTATGTTCTTACTGTTTTGTCTGAATACTGTGTGCCTCAGTTTCCCTTATGTGTTATTCAAGTGTCTAAGTGGTGAGACAAGGGTGTGTGATCCTTGCAAAGACCTCTAGGAGCAGGTGTGACTGCCTGGGGACAGAGAGAACGGCAGCCTGTATCTGTATCCTGGTAACTGATGGCCAGGGATACAGAGTCAGTTGGAGGAGATGGAAAACAAAGTGAGACAGGTAGGCCAGGTGACCTGCTTGCCCAGGAAAGAGACAAAGTAAGGAGATGCGGCAGCAGCTCGTGACTAAGGCTGGCTGCTGGAAGCTGGTCAGTCTCCTGGGGGAGACCCCAGGGCTTTGGGCTCTGGATCCCCCAAGATGGAATTTGCTGAATGTTCTTGCTTTCTGTACTAACAAGATCTGTTCTATGCTGTGTTCCCATCAACTAATAAACTCTTCTGTTTTACAACGTTGGTGGAGAGTCACTGCTGACTGCAAAGTTGGGGTGTATGTAAGGCTTTTCCAGGTGGATTCGCTGCAGGATGCTCACAGTGTGAACAGGGGTGCTGAATGCTCCCAGGTCAGACCCAGGCACAGGCTTCTTGCCCTGGTGAGAATGTGCACTGAAGGAAAACACACTGCACTAGAATCCTGCCTGACTTCATTCAGAGCTGTTTCAGAGCACCAACACTGTGATTCTGTGACACCAACAGGTACACTTGCTCCACAAAGACAGTTAAAAGTGATTGATGAATCTTTATTGAATAACAGAGTTGGTTTGATGGAAAGAATGAAGGGATCTAGGTCCACGTTACAAAAATCAGAAAACTGAATGCTATATGTTAGTGACACCAGTAACCATATTCCTGGCATTTAATATATTTCATCGGTTCCTTTCTTTAGCCAGAAATCCATTCAGATTATTTGAAGGAAATTTAGACTGTGTTCAGAACTTCCATTTTCTTTTCACTTCTTAATTCTCTTAATATACTCACCCCACCACTTTTACTACTCTTCTAATCTGTATTCCCTTTCCTCCATTCTACTTATTTTTCTCTTAGGGTACGTCTATACCCAGCCGCTAGTTCGGCGGCTGGCAATCAAACTTCTGGGTTCGACTTATCGCGTCTTTTCTTGGAGCGGTA